ATTTCATACAAATTAACGAATTTGTGATCAATCTATGTTTTTATTTTAATTACTTACCAACTTTCTCTCGGAGAGTCATTTCATTACTATTATCTTCACTATTGGATCTCTTCGGACTCCCATTTGCAATTACTATCGGTACCTGAAATAATTATAATGTACATAAGTATATATTGGAATTATTAATTATACACATTGTTAATTATATATATTGTTCAGGATTTAAGTTTTTGTACTTACTTCTGCAGGAGTTTCATATATCTTATGGCCTATTACTTTATTAACATATTCCCAGCCCCGTACTGCTAATAAATAACAACAGCTGGGAGACAAAATTGCATGCTCTTCCCATGGAACTTCTTCTACTCTCCAATTTCCTATATCAATCCCACAATGGTAACAGGTAGTGAAATCATCTACTCCGGCGTAGTAGAATCCTGCATCGGCTAAATCTTCTCTTGTCTGTTTCATATATGTAGGCCATGATTCGAACGAATTTAGTCTGGATTCGTAAGTAGCATAATCCAAATTTTCTGGATTCTTAACATCTTGTAGTCCCAAACGGCTAAGTTCGTATGGCGTTGGGTACCTTAATTGTCGCAAAAATTGATGCTTATTAAAATCAAATGACTCAAGATATTGTAAACCATAACGACAAGTTATATTTCTATTTCTTCGTTTTGTCAGTAGAACTTCATCAGGATCTACTCCAACTGGTACATTATCACATTGTTCGTTGCGGATAAATCTGCACTCTGGAGAACATATCTCATGAACCTGCATTGGAATATGCTCGTCTGTCCAGCCATGTGCCGTCAATTGACATTCAAAGCATCTCACTCTATCTATTTCACCCGTATAATAGAATCCTGCAGCTGCAAGACTGACAGGGTCAACGGAAGATTTAGGCCAACTTCGAAAACTCCAACGTCTGCTTGCTTCAAAGCGATAATCATCGTCATTTTCTTCGATGCCATGTGAGGTGGATGGGACCGGCGACACTGACACCGTCGACTGTATCGGTGATGTTGAATCAATCACACTTGCTGAAGATCCCGATGGTACGGCAAACTCATCCGCCGATATTGAATCAACCGGCAAAGTCGAATTAGCATCTTCGTTTGCAGACGTGTCTGCCCCATGTCCCATAAAGTATTCGAAGTAATTCGTAGGAAACATTTTATCTATATGGCAATGTAATGCACTTTCGAACCTATTTAAAAGAAAAAGAATCTGAAATATCTACTAATTGTAAATGACTTAAGAAATATTGTACGTGTACAATTGATCAAACAGAAATATATTACAGACAACACTTACGAATATCAGATGCCGACGTTCCGTTTCAACAGCACCCCAACTCTTCAAATGGAATCTTGACAAATATTTGATATCTTAGTCTTGTATATTTTATATTTTGAGATTTACCAAAACTGCGCAATCGTACGAACAAGCCACACAAACTCTTCGACCGTCAGTCTAATACTGAATCTTGCTGCTGGTACGTACCGGGAAGCTACTACCTGTTTGCTACAAATCTTATCCCTACCCACAGTACCCGGCAGCAATGGACTCCTTCGATGCACTACAAGGCATCCACTGTACAGAGTGGGCATGTTGTCGACCAATCAAATTTCACCGATGCTCCGCCCCTTACTGAACTGTACTGCACTGTGTAAAATGAAGGACGCTTGCTAGGTACAACGTGAAAGTATATCTCTTATTCACTCACCTCCGAAAATTATGCCGTTTTTGAAGGAATTCTTATTT